TCCACTTGGTTTCTCCTCATTAAGATTTGATTGGTTCTAATGACCAGACTGCTTACCTTTCAAATATAAATGACACACCAAAACCTAAACCTAACTGGATTCCCAACTAGTCATACCAATCTTTATTTCAGTGTGCAATACTTTGACTAAAAACTCTGCATTCTGAAATGAATGTTTGCAAAGTCGTATGTGGGTTGTATGCTCAAAGCTCCTACAGTTCTGGAGGCTATAGTTAGGCTCACTTTTCTTTCACTGCACTCTGCTGTCCCTCCTCGCGCTCTGCCGCAGGTTCCTCCCCTTCGCTGTCGCTGTCATCCAGGTTGACGTTTCTCTCATCCTCTGAAGTGTCAATCAGGGCCCCGTCCTCCCCCTCGCTGCTGTCAGAGCCCCCCCCGCCGCTGCCCCCAGACGAAGTCCCCTCCTCTTCCTCCCCATCCTCCTCTTCCTCGCTCGAGGTCGACTCGTACCTGCAGCAGGGTGGGGGAGGGATACACATTCATACCCTTACGGTCTTTCTACAGGCAAGAGTCACAAACCAGCCAAACACATTTTCAGGCCACAGATTGGGTGACAATTAAAAAGAACAACTGGCACTTTGTATAGGCGCTATTCCACTGTGAGAAACGTCAGAATTACAGATGGAGAAAATCTGGATCCAGCTGAAATTTGACGGATCATTTTAGACCCTGCATTGTGGCATGCTTGGTATTTGCTGGCTGTGGGAAAATTCCAGCTGTCTGTCTATCTTGTTGAGATGTTGATTCACAACATGAACTCCCCCCGTTTTGCACCAGACTCCTCCACACAAATGCTCAGAACAGAGTGCTGCATGAAGCCCCTGGAAATGCTGAGCCAACAGCCTGCTCTGAGGAACCGGTTACCAGATTTCGTCACAAACTCATGCAACTAGGCTTGATGCTTTCCCTGTTTACACGTAAGGAATGGATGATGCAAAAATATCCACCACATGATTAGTCTGCTTTGATGCACAAGCAATTATCTTGTAGGTTTAAAAAAAGTGTGATTTGAGTCTCTAAGCCCAAAAGATCATTCCAAATAAGGCATTAGGTGAAAACGATTTGCTTTGTACAATGTTACAAGTTTGAGTCTGGATTGTCCCTGCGTTTGCTTTGACAATGGGGCAAAACATGGCAGGTCTTAGGTAGGTTGGCCAGGGAAAGTAGGGTTTGATATTCTTAGAGCTGTCCAGGAAAAAGCAACTCTTGGAACCCTGCAGATCAGCAGTGACATCACTGAAAGACCTCCAATCCGTGCCAAGTCTCCCGTCGGACACTGTGAAGCCCGCAGTGAGCCGACAGGTGGTTCAATGGGTGGCATTTGCTCGCCCTGTGTCTTACAGGAATGGGATATTTAAGAAACAATAGGCGATTCAAAATGAAGTTGTAAAAACAAAAAAAATACAAGTGGTCAAAAACGAGTATGGAGAAATCATTTCAGATTTCACTATGAAGTGAAATCCTGTTGGTTTGAAATCCGTAAACTAGGTAAGCATGCCTCAGACAGCTGCATAAAAGAATGCAAAGCAAAGGCCTTTTCCAGCTTAGACCCTAAATGAACTAACCGGAATGATATTGCATGTTTAACAAGAGCTGGCAGATCAGGGCCTATTGGAAGGCTCCTCTGAACACGGATGTTTTTGTCAAAGTGATCAAGAGCGATGAGGATCTCCCCGTTCGCTTCGACTCACCCCCCGTTGAGAACCCCTACGAACTGCAGACTCTTCCTGCTGCCAGGCTCTCGTTGGGTACTCCCATCCTTTCTCTTCATGATGGACTTCAGGACGCCTGCAAGGCAGTGGAACCGCCACAAGGGGCGCCACGTGTTAACCAGCTGCCTGTATCCTAGAGGAGCTGCTGCAGAAGTGTCTGTTGTATGTTCTCATTTAATTTATCAGTCCTCATCTAATTATTAGCTCACTCAGACATGTTTATTTACAGGAGATTTGTTTCCCGCAGGTTTAGATCACCCTCATCCTCAAGAGCCTAATCTGAGAGCAAAGGCTTTATCCAACATCCCCCATTGAACTAATTAAGACTTCATTCCCAGGCAGCTTGATAAATTTAGTATTTTAAAGCATTGAATCTATAAAATCTTTTCATGTGAACAGAATGACATAAAATTGAACAAGATCTCGATTTATAATGAAGGCATGAAGGCATTTATTTCCCTCAGGTACAAGGGTTACTTTTATGGACATACTATACAGTAAATATTCTAAAATTGTTAGCCAGTATCCACTTTGATTTAACTCATGGTTATTTACCCCTTACTTTGGTGTGGTGTAATCCAAAACCACATTTCAATTCATTTACTGCTGTTAGTCAAGGTTGAGTCACTGAAAAGATCGTTTTCTCTTCTGAGTATGAGAGAGAAAAACTCAATTCACATTTACAGACCTGAAAAGATGATTTATCCAATCCAATTAAGCACATCAAAGCTTGAGTAGAACAGAAGAGAGTGTAGCCTTGGGTTTCATACAAAACCGAACTAAACAGGCTTGTCGGTCTGAATGCAAAATGATTTTTTAAATTTAAAAAAAAGAAATAATCAAGAAAAACAAACCTGCCATTTTCCAATAAACACCATCAATCCCAACACAGATGTATTCAGAAGAGATATTTTGTAGCTGTGATGGACCGAGGAGGAAAATGATAGGACTTCATGGGTAAAGCATTGAGCACCCGCAGATTCACAGAAAATCAATGAAAACAATATACCAATTCCATCTCTGAAACATTAAAACAGTTACACCGCCCAATTCAGAAGTGTGAAAATGCCATTAAATTCAGAACTGTTCACCTATATCCAGGTGCACTACATCCACAAAGAGGGGTACCACCCACCTGCAGCTGGGCTTAGGGGTACTGGTATCACTTCCTTTGACTTTCTTCTCTCTGCCACACAGACGGCCCCCAGGCTGGATATGGCAGTGTGCCCTGTGATGCTCACTTGCCTTCGCTTCAGTACAGCGACAGGAGCTTTCTGCTCGCCACCCGTCTCTGGTCCATCTTGTTTCTCCCACTGGCTCCCAGTGCTAGTTACTGGGATAGCTTCCCTGGCTTCCCCTCTTGACTCCGTTTGAGTGTCCCGGTTGATCTGCTGGAGAACAAACTCCCGGCCAACTCCCACATCCTTCAGCTCCTGTCGGCACTCCACAGCTATGCTGCGCCTGTGTTCAGGTGCCTCCAGTGTTCCTCCTGCTGCAGTACTGGTGAGGGAGACCACAGCTTCCACCAGCACACTAGCCATCTCTGGCCGGGCCTGGGTACCCTTCTCCACTGCAACCTTGGACTTCCTCTCGTCATCCTGCACCCTCAGCGCTTCCATTTCTTTGTCGACTTGGGACAGACTGCTTTCCAGCACTTGAATGGTTTCCTGCTGGAACTTGATGGTATCTTGCAGGGTCTCGATTTCCCGCTCAGCCTCAGTCCTCAGCCCCAACAGGGACTCCATGACCCACACCGAAGCATCCTCCACTTCTGCTCTGGCCTCGGCTCCAGCGTCGCGCGTCTCTCTGGCGTCTGTTCCCACTCCTTTCTCGCATGCTTCCACGGCCTCCGTGCCCACTGCCACCTCCTTCGTTCCCTTGCGATAGTAAAACACGCCTTCCTCCAAGGGTCTGTCACCCCCCACTCCCACTGACTTTCTCTCCACCACCATGGTTCTCTCCACCTGCTCGCTGTTCCTGTCCTCCCTTCCTCCTAACCTCTCCGTCAGCTTTCTTAACTCCGCTATCTTGCTTTGCCTGACATGGCTGGATGCTGGTGGAGGCCTCCGCTGAGCCTCTCCCTCAGCTTCCTCTGCAGTGCAGTTTCCGACGCTCAAGGACCTCTGCTGGATGCCGGTTTCTCCCCCCACCTTCTCCCGCAACGCTGCCTGAAGCTCCTCTTTCTCGGCTCGCAGCTTTGCCACCTCTCTCTCCAGCGCTGGCACTCCCTTCACCCTTTCTTCCATCTCTTTCAGCTGCCGGAGAGCGGCGGCCATCTGCTCTCGGACGGTCTGGAGCTGGTTTGGTGGGATCTGGGTTAATCCAGTGGAGGAGGTGCCCCCAGAAGCTGGGGTGCTCCTGCCAGAGTTTTGAGGGCTCGCTCTGGGCCAGATGACCTGCGATGGGCTGGGAGAAGATGGAGGAAGATGGGGTGGATGGGGGTCTCCCATGGGGGCTGAAGGAGGAGAGGGCTGGGACGAATTAATAGCTACCCTTCCCAATTGCTTCGATCCAGCTCTCGGAGGCTCTGCAAGTTGGAAACCCGACCCATTCTGCAAGTGTGACTGCTCCTGCTCCAGCCGGCGGCTAGTCTCCAGCAAGGTCCTCTCGACTCTAGGGTTGCGAATTGGTGGCGGCGGTGGTCCTCTCGGACCGGCTGAAAGTGGCGGGCTCGTCAAGGGGACGGGCGAGAGGGGGAGCGATTCCGAGGGAGCGGAGATGGTACGGTTTCGGGGAGGCGGCACGGGAGGCACACGACCCTCTTCGCTCGCAGAGGAGGACAGAGACTCTGTCGAAGTCCAGCCGCTGGTATGCCCACCTGCCCCGGGGCTCCTCCGAGACAAGGAGCCCGATTTTGAGCTCCGTGGACCTCGGCGGGGGTTAACAGGCGCCCGGCGAAAATTATGGCCACTCTCAATTTCTTCCACATACTTGAGGAAGTCCAGATCTAGCTGGAATCCATAAGGGGTTTGGACAGAGTAGGAACCTCCCTGGTCTCCTTCCTCCTGGGTGCTGTAGAGGAATGGGGTCCCCACATCTGTTAAGGACAGACACAGAGACAATGAACTTACTGTAACATTCAACCAGACCCTGGCAACCAGTCATAAAATCACTACAAAGGGATGCAACAGATTTTTACAGTCACTTACCAGGGAGCTTCTGGTTCAACTGGACAGACTGGGTCATCTTTGTTGACCAGGAATTTCCAACAGCAGCCCCGACAGTGTCTGCTTATCACCTGAAAAAAAAAAAAAAGCTGGCTGAACCCGACATCATGACAGCTTGCTGCAATGCTTCAGTTTTTGCAAAGCCTGTTGTGCAGGTTAAAAACGACATCATGCACCTGCACATCCACACAAAATGAAGCCCCTTTTCCACACTTATTTCCTTTTATTTGTTTTTTTCCCCCGCATTTGAAATGTACAAATAGATTTGGAGTGAACAGTCAAAACATGCATTTTGTCAATTAACGGATATTTTTTTAGAAAAGGCTACAAGACCGATTCTGACAAGAGACTCCCTTGTTGAAACAAGGTCCCCACCACAGACAAATGCGTCTGAAACCCTTACCTCCCTCGTGCACCCTCACACAAAAAAAAAAAAAAAAAAAAAAAAAAAAA